AACCGATCTCCTGGAGGACCTAGGTTATGTTGGAATTCTCCGGGTTTCGTTTCGTTTCGTTTCGTTTCGTTTTTTTGTTTGTTTCTCGGCGCCCTGGGACAGGGCCTGGATGCGGAGACCTGCTTCGTGCGATTGCCCGGGGGATTTATGGAGGCCGCAGCGCTCGAGCGAGCGATGTCTCGGTGAGTTGTCCGAGTCCCAAGGGAGGTGTCTTCAATGTTGGCTTGTTGCGGGACGGGACGCTTTGACTTGTACCCTCCCCACAAAAAATGCCAATTAGCCAATACTTGTTTTATTGATTGACGCCAGCAACTGGAAGAGCTTGTCCAAGAGACTTCAGCAGTCGGCCACTCAATTTTTGTTGGGGTTTCCGGTGAGGCTTCTGGATCAGCCCGGACTTTGCATCCCTTCTTGCCCGGATGGGGACATTCGAACCTAGATGTAGAGGGGCCACTTCCCAGCTGTGCATGCACTTATCACCATAAGCAGTTGGAGGCAAAGAGGGATTAGGGCATTTCCTTTTTTGACCCTTGTGGTTATTGAGGAGATGTTTTTTTTTTCCTAGCCCTGGTCCCCCCTTAGCCCTGGTTGGTTGGTTGGTTGGTTGGTTGCTGGCTGGCTGGCTGGCTGGCCGCATCCCCGACATCACCAACATCACTTGGACCTGGGGTTGCCTATTGGCTCTGATTGGGTGGCAGTTGGGCTGGGGGCTGGTTTAAGTTAGGGGGGTTTTGGCTGGCTTGGATCTTCATGAGGGTGGGTCTTGGGGTGGTTTGGGGTTGATTTAGGCGAAGCGAACTGTTGGGCGGGTTTAGGGTTGACTTTGAGTGGGTTTGGGGTGGCTTGGAGCTGATTTGTGTTAGGTGTGCTGCTGGTTTAGCAGCGGCTTTAGAGTTGCTTTAGGGTGTGGTTAATAGAGTTCTGGTCTAGTTTTGGTGGTTTGGGGCAACACACAACTTTAGTCTCCGCAGAATTACGGTCAGATCGTACACAATTTAGTCTCCGCAGAATTACGGTCAGATCGTACACAACTTTAGTCTCTCTCTCCGCAGAATTGCGGTCAGATCGTACACCATCCTACTACTTTAGTCTCCGCAGAATTGCGGTCAGATTGTATGCAACTTTAGTCTCCGCAGAAATTACGGTCAGATCGTACACAAACTTTAGTCTCCGCAGAATTACGGTCAGATCGTACCAAAACTAGACCAGAACTCTATTAACCACACCCTAAAGCAACTCTAAACGTCTAAAGCCGCTGCTAAACCAGCAGCACACCTAACACAAATCAGCTCCAAGCCACCCCAAACCCACTCAAAGTCAACCCTAAACCCGCCCAACAGCAGCCTGGATGTCAGCCCTTCGCTTCGCCTAAATCAACCCCAAACCATTCCAAGACCCACCCTCATGAAGATCCAAGCCAGCCAAAACCCCCCCAACTTAAACCAGCCCCCAGCAACTCCCAACTGCCTCCCAATCTGAGCCCATAGGCGGCCCCAGCTCCAAGTGATGTTGGTGATGCCGGGGATGCGGCCAGCCAGCCCACCAATCACTGCCAGGGTTAGGAAAAAAACCAGGTTTAGTAAAAAAAACACCTCCACCTGGTTATTGATTACGTATCATACATAGACGTACAGATAAATTTGTGCAAACTCGCTTATCATTTGCTCCAACCGACAAAAAGCAATCTCGCCATCCACAAAGAATGTTTGGGGGGCGTCTTTTGTTGAGGGCATCCCTTTTTTGCGGTGCTAAAATGGGAAACCCAAAGGACCACTACCAATTTTGGGGGTTCGGGGTTCCCCCAGAAAAAGACATCCTTTTCTCCGGGTGCGGGTTGGGTTTCCGTGAGCAAGCCATTGCCTGCGCCAGACGGTGTCGCCTGAGAACCTGATCTGCGACTAGCGCTCTCAGATTGGACAAAACGGCCGGCCAGGTTCCATGGATTCCACTCCCCGGTTTCCCGGTTTCCCGTTGGTGGTGTGGGGGTGGTGGATTCCATCTCTCAAATACTGGCATGGAAGGGAAACCGTGGGAATTATTCGTGAATGCTTGCTCTAGCATAAGAATAGAGGGGTCATCCCAAGGACTAGCTGACACCGATTTGACAGTAAAGTCACCTTGATTCTACATGTTCAACGACTTGCCTTGTATCCTTCGGGCGGGGAGCTCATGGACTCATTCGTGACGCTTGCAAAGCGGGACCCGGTCAAGCGGCTTGAAGATAGACGGCCCCTAAGACTTTCCCTTCTGTCCACGTTGCCATGGAACCCACCAGAGGGTCCCTTTGCAAGCAATGTAGTCTTCCAGGTTCCATGTTAGTGGGCAGGAAGGTACCTGAGTTACATGCAGCAAACTTTAAGCTTTTTGGTTGGTTCGTGTGTGTATCATTTAAGTCAAGCCTAAGTTTGAACTTTTCTGATTGGGCTCAATTTAGGGCTTTGTTGGGATCAAGAGGACAACCCGTATTTTTTTGCGCATTGGATGTGTATCCGGAAATTGCAGGGCGCTGTGCATTGGGGCCAGCATGTATTTTGTCTACACGCAAATAGTCATCCATTCAGGATGCCCTTGTTGAAGACTACATTCTGTGTGAAGAAAAGTCACTCCCATGTTTGGCGGGAGGCATGTTGATCCATGGGATGTTTTCTTCGACCAAGGGGCGTGTGATGTCAGTTGCATTCGGCGAGCAACTTACAGCAAAGGCCACGGTTTTTGCCCGGGGCTTGTCCTGCAACAAAACTCTGTCAGCCAAGCAACCACAAAACTCATGAAGTCTGACATAGCCCTGAGACTTGAAACCTGCGTGCAAAGCCATGCATTTCGTCCACTTGCTGCTTGTGCTGCAGTTTGCTCCGGGTCCGTGCACAAAGGCGTTCAGCGACAAAACGGAGCTACGAACAACAATCGAAGAGTGGGTGAGTGGTTCAGACAGGACCCCCATCATACAAGAGTACGGAGAAATCGGTGACTGGGATGTCTCCCAGATCACTGACATGAGCTCTTTGATCCGAAATCTCAACACCTTCAACGAAGACATGCACAGGTGGGACGTCTCAAGCGTGACCGACATGCAAAGCATGTTCTTGGGCACCACCTTCAACCAACCTCTCAACTCATGGGACACCTCGCGGGTGACGACCATGAACCGCATGTTCGACGGCGCCTCCTTTAACCAACCCATCGCATCATGGGACACCTCGAGAGTGACCAGCATGGCCTTCATGTTCGCGAATACAGTGGCGTTCAACCAGCCCATTGGCTCATGGGACACCTGAAGCGCAGTACATGTTCTGGCTCGCTTCCGCTTTCAACCAACCCTTGGGGTCATGGGACACCTCAAGTGTGACAGAGATGAGATCAATGTTCCTGCGTGCCGCAGTGCTCAACCAGCCCATTGCGTTATGGGACACCTCAAGCGTGACCCACATGAACGAGATGTTCGAGGGCACCATCTTCAATCAGCCCATCGGGTCCTGGGACACATCGAGACTGACTGACATGAACAAAATGTTTTCGGACACTCCCGCCTTCAACCAACCCCTCAAGTCATGGGCCACATCGAGGGTGACCAACATGAGACGCATGTTCGAAGGCACGGCAGTGTTCAACCAGCCCATCGATTCATGGGACACCTCAAGCGTGACCGACATGAGTAGCATGTTCGAGGAAGCAGTGGCGTTCGACCAGCCCATCGGGTCCTGGGACACATCGAGCGTGACCAACATGAGACGAATGTTCTGGGGTGCCCCATCGTTTTGGCAATGCCTGGCCTCCTGGAACACATCCGCACTGACTGACACAACTGACATGTTTGTTGGCAGTGGATGCCCAGCTGAGTCTGCTCCCTTGGACAACGGCTTGGAATGTGAATGCCCCCCACAAGAACTGTGGTGTGAAGACTTGGATGCGTTGGATTATGCCCTGCCCAAGAAGCAGGGAAAGCGTGCTGTACGGAAGTGCTTGAAGATGTCGTTGATCAAAACGATCCAGGACAGTCAGCTTCCAGCCCAGCTCCCTGGGCTGAAGGCTTCTCCCTTGGCATGCCCTGTTATGATCCTTGTGGCTGCAAGCACTGCTGCAATTGTCTGGCGAAGCTGCCGGTTTTCTCGGTCGTACGACCAGCTGCACAACGCAGCGATGTAAGACAACACATAATTGACATGCAACTGACCTGAAGGCCTGCGACCCGGATGTCCGATCGACAAAACAGCCGTGCGCTGAATAGCATGACGCCACAAAACCATCAGAACATCGCCCACATATAGCATAACCTTTGCAAAACCACAAGGAACTTCATTGAACCACCGGCTTCTGCACCAACAGTGTAAGATCTGAGACAGACAAGCAATCCAAAGATTTCGTTTAGGTACGTGGGATTTGTGAAGGAGAGCAATGGTATAGCTGCAGACTGACCGTCACTCTTTCGGCGCTTGCGAGTCCTATGTTCCCTGCCGAAGGACTTCAAAGTGACTTCAACCGCTTCCTGCGACTTTTTCCAATGTGCGTTTGTCAAGCGAGCCGTTTCCAAGCCTAATCAATCCAAACCATGTGTAATTACTTTCTGTAGCCCATTGGGTAGGTCGGGTTTTGTGCTTATGGAAGCAATGGAGGTGCATTTCTATGGATAGCGCATGTTTCTCCCTTCGCGAGGTAATTCCTCTGTCAAGGTCCCCGGGCTTGCAGCAAGAGTCTGAGAGCAGATCTTGCGCCCGTCTCAAAATGCTCGGCTCTGCTCAAGCCCTCGAAGAAAGTCCCAATGCAACCCTGAAGGAAAAAACAAGCCTGTGGGTCGAACACAATCCTAATGCAACCCTGAAGCAAAACGACACCCGACCCCGCCAGAGTTCCTATCACAAAAGGGCCTATGTTAAGGAGCCAAAGCCCCCTTAGCACGCCCCTACCGCTGCATTTTGGACAATGGAATTTTTAACATGGGGAACGTGCAGTCGTCATCGGTAGGGAAAGCCCTTCGACCTTAAATCTACGGCGATTGCGGCGAGGATGGCATCGATGCGGCAGAGGTGCATCTGAGGAAAGGGGACACGCTGCTACACCTTCTTTGCCAATGCAGGCGATTTGAAACCGACTGGTCGGTTACGCGAAACATTGGCACCCATTCCCAGGCTTGGTTTGAAAGGAAATTTATCAGCTACTGGACATTTGTTTCAAGGTTCAAATGGAAGTTGTCCTTTTTGTTTGGGGGGGTCCCTTGTAAAACCACTACAAACACAGAGTGCCCCTTTTTGCCAAGGCCACGGATCTGCGAAAGACGGCCAAACAATACCTGGCCACGTGGCCAGTATAAAACCATAAACAAAAACAAAGCATGCTTGAGTGGTAGAACATGGTGGAGACACAACGCAATAATTCCACACTGTAACATGTTTTTTTTGGGGTTTTTGTTTTCTCTTGGTTTTACATGCTGGTTGGCTACCCACGGCAGTGACTGGCATCCATGGCTAGAAATCATTCATTGGGTTGGAATGAATACGTCCCGAATCCGGTGGGCATAGGGAATCAAGCTGGCATAGAAAATAGGTGCGAAGATGGCCGATGTTTTGAAGGGTTTGCGGGATATGCAGCCACTATGTGGCCACCAAAGGGTTTACACTCCATTTTCCTCTGGTAGTATGTTCGGGATGAAAACCATCCTTCGGTGGGGTTGGAGAAGCACCCATCTAGGTTTGTCTCAAAACACGGGCAAATCAATTTCCCTTGTGTTTTCCTTTTAAACCAGCCGAAACGGAGTGGCCGAAGACGGGCCTGCGAAATGAACCAAAGGGAATACCACGTTTTTGGGTGGTCCCCTTGTTTTGACGCATGCTATGTGCCCATGGTGTGTGTGTGTGTGTGTGTGGGTGCGTGGGTGCGCGTGCGTGCGTGCGTGTGTGCGTGCGTGCGTGTGTGGGCGTGTGTGTGTGTGTGTGCGCGTGTGCGTGCGTGCGTGCGTGCGTGCGTGCGCGTGCGTGCGTGCGTGTGTGCGTGCGTGCGTGTGTGGGCGTGTGTGTGTGTGTGTGTGCGCGTGTGCGTGCGTGCGTGCGTGCGTGCGTGCGCGTGCGTGCGTGCGTGTGTGCGTGCGTGCGTGTGTGGGCGTGTGTGTGTGTGTGTGTGCGCGTGTGCGTGCGTGCGTGCGTGCGTGCGTGCGCGTGCGTGCGTGCGTGTGTGCGTGCGTGCGTGTGTGGGCGTGTGTGTGTGTGTGTGTGCGCGTGTGCGTGCGTGCGTGCGTGCGTGCGTGCGCGTGCGTGCGTGCGTGTGTGCGTGCGTGCGTGTGTGGGCGTGTGTGTGTGTGTGTGTGCGCGTGTGCGTGCGTGCGTGCGTGCGTGCGTGCGCGTGCGTGCGTGCGTGTGTGCGTGCGTGCGCGTGTGCGCGTGTGCGTGCGTGCGTGCGCGTGCGTGCGTGCGTGCGTGCGTGATGCGTGCGCGCGCTGCGCGGCGTGCTGCGGCGTGCGTGCGTGTGTGCGTGCGTGGGTGCGTGCGTGCGTGCGTGGGTGTGCGTGTGCTGTGCGTGGGCGTGGTGCGTGCGTGCGTGTGCGTGTGCGTGTGCGTGTGCGTGTGCGTGTGCGGTGCGTGTGCGTCGTGTCGTGTGCGTGTGCGTGTGCGGTGTGTGCGTGTGCTGTGCGGTGTGGTGGTGTGTGGTTGTGTGTGTGTGTGTGTGTGTGTGTGTGTGTGTGGGTGTGGCGGTGGGTGTGGGCGTTGTGCGTGTGCGTGCCGTGTGCGTGGCATGTGCGTGCGCGTGCGCGTGCGCGTGCGCGTGCGCGTGCGCGTGCGCGTGCGCGGCGCGTGCGCGGAGCGCGATGCGGCGTTGGCGCGTCGCGTGACGCGCGCGCGCGCGCGCGGGCGGCGGCGGGCGGGCGGGCGGGGCGGGCGGGGGCGGGCGGGCGGCGGCGGCGCGGGCGGCGGCGGCGGCGGGCGTGCGGGCGTGCGTCGTGCGTGCGCGGTGGGTCGTGGGTGCGGTGGGTGGGTGGTTTGTGGGGGGGTGGGTGGTGTGTGTGGGTGAGTGGGTGTGTTGTGTGGGTGTGTGGGTGTGTGGGTGGGTGTGTGTGTGTGTGTGTGGTTGTCTGTCATTTGTGTGGTCTGTGTCTGTGTCTGTCGTGTCTGTGTCTGTGTCTGTGTCTGTGTCTGTGTCTGTGTCTGTGTCTGTGTCTGTGTCTGTGTCTGTGTCTGTGTCTGTGGTGTCTGTGTCTGTGTCTGTGTCTGTGTCTGTGTCTGTGTCTGTGTCTGTGTCTGTGTCTGTGTCTGTGTCTGTGTCTGTGTCTGTGTCTGTGTCTGTGTGTTTGTGTTTGTGTTTGTGTTTGTGTTTGTGTTTGTGTTTGTGTTTGATTGTTTGTTTGTTTGTTTGTTTGTTTGTTTGTTTGTTTGTTTGTTTGTTTGTTTGTTTGTTTGTTTGTGTGTGTGTGTTTGTGTTTGTTTGTTTGTTTGTTTGTGTGTGTGTGTGTTTTTTGTGTGTGTGTGTGTGTGTTTTTGTGTGTGTGTGTGTTTGTTTGTTTGTTTGTTTGTTTGTTTGTTTGTTTGTTTGTTTGTTTGTGTGTTTGTTTGTTTGTTTGTTTGTTTGTTTGTTTGTTTGTTTGTTTGTTTGTTTGTGTGTGTGTGTTTGGGTTTGGCTTCATGGGAAAAGTATGATCATTTGAAAGGACAGTCACCCTTTTGGAGGTTCCCGTTCTTTGTCACAGAATTACATAACCAACCTCCTGAGCAGGTCAACGCTGGCATGTGAGACATTTTTCTGCACAAGCTGCTCACCTATTTGCCCAGATCGAGGGTGGGGAGGTCTGGGACTTCCAGATGCGCACGACCTTCGCGACCGCTTTGTGAAATGCAACGAGTTTACCCAACCGACGCTCGGTGCAGCCAGATGTACCTTGCGATATCTCAGCCCTTTTGTGGCAGCCACCAACTACTCGTAGATCTTCGCCTTCCCAAACATGCGCACTCGGCCGGATCTGACCTTTTGACCTCAAAAGAGTACAAGCACCGTTTACCTATGTCGAACAAAACTGGGATGCCGCTTGTTTCCAAAACACCGTAGATATCCACCCGGGTGAATTCATCCTTGACCTAAGAAAGGCAAGTGGGATTCTATTTTCAGACATTCGAAGAGCAGGATGTTTGATCCAGGATGTTGAATCACCTTTTTGTTTTCAGGTCTTCTGTGAGGGGAATCAAGTGGGGTGTAGCCGAGGTGAATCTCACGATTGACTATCTTGGCAAGCGCGCCCAAGAGGTCGTGAGGGGTCACGATTTTTCAAGTTCAATAGCATGTGTAGGAATCCTCCTTGGTTGCAATTTGCTGCCTGAATCACAGGGGACTGAAAGTTGAAAAGTGAATGGTCCGTGGGTTACAACCATAGCCAGTCTGTGCCTACCTACCTTTGCCTACCTACCTTTGTTTAACTCTTTGCTTTTTGGTGCCCATATGCTTTTATCCAGCAAAATGGTTCTCTCTTGGAGCTGAGATCCGTGTGGATGAAAAGCAAACCCGACAGGGAGGCTGGCCGCTGGCTGTCCCACCCTCGATCCGCCCCCAAGACAGCCGGACGAGTGCTAACCCGCACCTGAAATTCTGCATGTTTAAGTCATGGTTTCCCTATTTCTGGCTCTGCCAGTGATTACATTGCCCGAACCAGCTGTATAGCAATGAAACCAGCAAAGTACTCACTTGCCCACAGCGATTGAAGTTTTTGACCTTGTGGTTTCCCCTTGTTGCCGCATTTTGTCATGGTCCTTTTATTTCTGGGTCCTTGGGGCAACTGACTGGCAAGTGCTTGATCCACAAGTTCTCCAGGCCCTTCAGCGCGGACACCGCGGAGGTCTTCCGGCGGGTGGCGGACGTGATGCCGTTTCCCCTCTTCGGAAAGGCGCGACTTTTGGCGTGGGTGTTTTTCGTTCCTTGAGCCTTGGTTGTGAAGAACTGAGCTTGTGAACTTGTGGCTTTCACTGCTTTCACAGTATTTTTTCATAGAGCATGGCTCACGTGGACGCAGAGGGGCTTGTTGGGGCCTCATCAGCTCTAGCAGGGCGTGTGACGATATGGGTATATGTGCCAAAATAGCAGCTCAAATGGGTGGTATTCCTTTTGTTTCCCTTTCAACCAACTTCAACATGGTATCACACGCCCATATATTCGTGTCTTGTGAGGTTTCGTGCCCGCCTTGTCCCAAAACGGTTTCAAAGCTGCGAGCCTGCTTCTCGCGCAAGCCCCGTGTTTCCGGCAAGCCATCATGGCAGGTAAGGGGCACCATGATAGACTTAGCTGTAAAGTGGAAGCTTTGGGACATCTGTGGTTCATATGTTCGGAGGTTTGTGTGTTATTTGTGCAGTGGCGACAGCCAAAACATTGAAACAAAGCTGTTCAAAGCGCTTTGAAAAGAACCCCTTCGGGAAGCAAGATCAAGCATGGGAGCATGGCCATGCTCTTCCATACCCGCTCATATTTCAGGGAATAAATATGGCACAGCAACTGAACATGTGTTTCTTGTACCCCGGTGTGGGCCTAGGCCTTTGGTTGTCGGCCATGGGTATGAGGCGGTGGCTTCGTGCTACCGGGGAACCTCCCCCAACGGGTAATTAGTCATTTGCAAGGCGTTACGTTAATGTCACAGAAGTGGTTGCAGTTCCCACAACCCTGTTTAGCCTTGGTTGGCTTTGCGCCTTATTCGGCCTTGTTTTGCCCCGATATGATACGCCACGATCCGCCAGTTCGCCTTGTTTGGCCGAAGTCGCCGTACATGAACCCCAAGCCGTTGGGGAAAAGTCTCACTGAGTCTGTTCTTTTTCACAAGCTCACCGCTTCGGGGGCAAAAGGAGCCTTCTGGAGGGGGGCTTTCCTAGAAGATCCCATTCGGATTTGGGCATGTGCCCGAAGCATCAAGACACATCCCCCTTTCTCTGTCGCTCCGAACTTCGAATGGCCACACCACAAGGGTAGAGGATCTTGATGAACTGGGTGCCAAATAGCCCACAGGTTTGCCGAGATGGGGTGATGTAATGGGTTTCCTGTCAGCAGCGATCTTTCGGGTCGGAGGTGAACATGGCGGGACAAAGCTTCCTGGCCATTGCTGCCGCCACGCAGAATTTCTGGGTGGCCTGGAAGCATTGGACCTCCGGCGTTGGAGTTTCGATGGTCTCCTCCCTCGGAATTTGCTGGACCTTCAAACTACCCTCAAAAGGGAAGTCACCCGGTATTTGGGGCAATAGCCAATTTCATGGGCAGTTTGAGGGTCAATGTTAATGTTTTAGAGTAGATATAGCGAGATAAGTAATTACGAATAGTGCACTGTCGTGGCTAGATGTTGCTTTGGAGTACCCCGCAACCTAATGTTTTAGGCCTTTATACGGCGATAGACGTAACATGGAGCAGAGTCAGAAAAAAGCGATTTTCTGTCTACCCCCCAGATCTGGGCCAAGATCAGGAGACCAATAATAGTGACGGGTGCGACTGCTTGTTGCTCACTACCGGTAGAGCCGGCGAAGTTGGTGACTGAAGTTTCAAAACAAGGCCTGTAGTTATGTTTGTTGGTTTTCCTTCCTGTTGCTTCTTCTTTCTCTTTAACATCGGCATTTGTTGCTTTTTAATTTGTGTCCTTTCTTCTTGTCCTTCCTTCCTTCCTTCCTTCCTTCCATCGTTCCTTCCTTGCTTGGTTCCTTCCTTTCTTTATTCCTTCTTGCTTTGTTTGGCTATTTATTTATGTGTTTCCTTCTTGATTTCCTTGTTTGTTTCCTTCTTCTTTTTAATGTATTTATGTGTTTCTTTCCTTGTATCGTTCTTTCTTATTTCCTTCTTTATTTATTTCTCTTCAGTTCCGCCAGTCTTAATTCATGTCTTTGTATTTGTTATTTATTTCTGTCTTTCCTTCTTTTTGCTATATTTGTTATATTATCTTTTGTTTATGTATCTGTCTATCCATCTGCCTATCTATCCATACCTACTTACTGATCAATCCCATCTCGTTGACGCACGGAGAGGGGATTGGCACCCAACGCAAAGCAACATTTCGACTTGATTTCCCGGATATGCCAACCATTCCAAAGGAAGGCGCCCCCCAGTGACCACCTCCGTTGGGTGGAGGTCTTGTTCGGGGTCGTGACCGAAGAAAACCAAGCCGGTGTAGTTTCTTTCAGCTGTTCCAACCAGGGTTGGGCAAAATTGGCTGCGACCAGCGTTTGGCGCTAAGAGGCAAAAGGAGGCTGTTTGAGCAATGGGCATCCCGGATCCAGCTGTGGGCAACCAGAGGCCAGTGGATCCATAGGCCATCAGCTTGCCGAGTATCCCGGCTGATTTTCCCCTGGACAGAATCAGCATGTATGTGGCAGAGTACCCCAGATGTGGGCCAAAATGTGCCTGGTTTGTCCTACCCAGAAACAAGTAGCAGAAGTAAGCGTTCCTTGGGTCCAACCTTGCATGTTCCGTTTCTTTGAGACAAACAGGAGCCCCTGCCTGTCAAGAAGCCCTGGGAAACCAAACAGAATCAACGAGCCACTAAGTCTTTCTGGGCAGACATTTGCTGTTGTTTTTTCCTCATGGTCAGGGTTGTCAAGGTTCTACCTGCCAGATGTTTTAGGAGCAACACTATTTGGAGCGTGCGTTTTGCTGGCTGTCAGGCTTCAAGCGATCAAAATGATGCTGAGGTTCTTCGACACGTGAGCTTGAAGTACCCAGAGCAGATGAAGGCCGGAGCGTTTTGGATTGGCTCTGGAGCAGCCTGGGAGTGGCTGGGGTTGCTGAGGGGATACATGGTTGGGTTTCAAAGGCGTTTTTTTTTCTCGCCCCTGGTGTGTTTCTCAAATTGGCATCCCTTAAAGTGCTAAGCGTCCTTGTCATCCTTGTGGCTTTCCTGAAGCAACTGGAGGATAAGGCCTAAACTCCACTCCAAACCGGAGCTCATTGAAGTGCACCCTGCGATCTCCTTTTTGTCCACCAGGTTCGCAGCTTTTGGCTGACGCCTTACGGACATTAGTCGTCTGTACCGTTCCGCCGATGGCGGGTTTGCTCAGCTCAGCTTGCTTTGGACCAGTATATCCTTGTCTCGATACTGTGCCCATGTGCAAAAGAGGCGTGCGATGACCGCGCAAGGTGACTTTTCTCATTGGCTGGTTTGAAAGATCATCGTTTGGCAAGGCCAAGTTTAAGTGATGCGTTCTTGCGATATTTGCTTGGAAATACCGGGGTTTCCCGTCCAGTGAGGGCTCCCTTGTATTTCGGGTTTGGCGTTCCCTGCAAAATCAGCCAACCCAAACGCGCAAATTGAGATATGGCTGTGAGTCAAAAATAGGTACCCAAGATGGAACCCCGGTAAATGGAAACAAGGACTAAAATCTGCGGTCCCCTGGTGGTTTCATTTTGACACGCACCCATATATCCCCGGTGGATCGTGGAGTTGGGAATCGGCTTCAGGGCCTGGTGTGCTCCCGAGAGGCCGGTGGCGTGGAATTGGCCGTTCAAACGTGCGAGGGTGCCCCTGGTTCACAGAAGGGGTTTATTTTTTCCGAAACTCCCCACAACGTATGAGCACCAAACCAACAAGCAAATCACCATTTTGATTACATGGGCAATTAATGTTCAGGTGAATCATGTAGACACCTTTTGCCAACGAGCTCAGCTTCGGGTTAAAAGCTGAACCCTTGATGAAGCTCCTTTACTGGTCCCCTTTCCGGTTTGGGAATCAACTTTGCCCAGAACCATTTGCAGCTGAAGTTTCCTTATGGCTAACGTAAGAGCCCTCCAAGCAAACATCGCAGATGCTGTGAATGGAGAATTGATGTAGTCCCAGATGAGAGGTGGAGTTTCCAACGATGTTTTGTTCAACTTGACGAGGTTCTTCGTAGCTTTATCTACTAGGGCGTTTACAGAGTCAGAACGCGCAAAAGCCTTGAAGCTGAAGCGGCGAAGGTACCTGAAGAAGTCACAGGCTAGAAGGTGGATGTGAGCTTGATGACATTACACAATGTGACGTTGAAAGCGAGCATGATTTTGCCTCAACTGCCCTTGTTTGGCCGCTTAGTTGGCAAAGTTGGGTCAATGTTCAAGTTGGGTCAATGCTCAAGTTGTTTTTTTTCCTGACTAGGCCTTTTTTGCAGTCGTGCCCCCTTGGTCTTGTTTGCCCCTTTTGGCATGTTTGCCCCCCTTGGCCCCCCAACCCTGCCACCATTGCCCAGGGTTCCCTTGTTGGTCTTCAACAAACACTTCAGCCAAGGGTTGGCAAACAACAAATAGTGTGTGTGTGTGTGTTTTCTGAGGGTACCGTTAAAACATGGGGTGTATAGTTTTATGAGCAATGCCTAGCTTTTCCCAGGAATGTCCAAGGAAGGCAAGCTACTAGTTTCCACATCTATTCCTTAGGAATTCCTAATTTGCCCAACCCCTCTTTCCCAAGGAATTTCTAGTTTCCCTTTCTAGTCCTTGAAGGAAACCGAACCCCATTGAAAACTCGACCCGGAAGGCGCCGCTGCGACAGCTCTTGCAGCGGCTGCCACCACCCACAGCGCCAGGCAAGCGCTGTTTTTTTTTTTTTTCAGCTGAAGGAACCGGGAAAAATGAAACAGTAAGACGCGGTACTTTTTTAAAACAACATATATATATATATATATCTCTTTCCCCTTAGGTCTCCTCGAAAAGATATCTTAAACAGGGTGGACCAGATCTGTGTTTTTGTCAGGGTTCATATGTATTTTTACTGCGGGCCAAGTGACAGGGTGGCTTTAAACATACCTGTTCGTTTCTGGAATGGGGACATATCTCTCAGGTTGTTAGGCCCATTCCCAGTGGAAACACGGCCTTGAGACGTGGCGACGTTCATGTGGTCAAGTCAGACTTCTCCATATTGTTCAACCCCCTGACTAGCTCAGGCTTTAATACCCAGATCAGCGGTTGGCTTGGTTCCTTTCGTTTGGAGTTCAATTGAAATTTATTGCCAACAAGCAGAGTGCTCTTTTATCCCACTTAGGGGTTTGGGCTGACTACGGCTTCAACAAATGAAAGAACTGTTCCTAGATGTGCCGAGGACCCAACCACACCTCCTCAAAGACACCCGCATCAAGCGCTCGCGGGGAGTTTGGGGAACCGGCCAACAAACTTGTGGGCTCGAGTGATTCAGCCCGCATTTCGACGCTTGGAAACAAAGGTGCCACCGAGTCTGCGCGGGGTTCTCAACGCTTCTTGTGTGACTTGTAATTTGGCTTGCGAGCTCAGTGCCCTGTTAGCTTGGTTCGAAGGTATGACAGCAACACCAAAATCCATTTGGGCCCAAATCTATCTATTGTGACAGGCCTAAAGCAGACAGCGACACCCAGGGTTACCTTGGCGGGTTCGCAAATTCTAGCAGCCAGGGATACCAAATGGGTGTGGCTGTTCAAGACTTGCCCTTTTCATGTTGTCAAGGCAAACCAAAGGAAACCAATCATCTTTGACCCGGTCCCCGACATGTTACCACCCGAGCCATAGGGCCCCCCTTCGTTTCCAGGCGTCTCGGGCTGCGAAAAGATCCCGGAGCATTTTGCGGTGGCCAGCTTGCTGAGCCTGCTCCTCAGATCCAGAAGATCCATTGGATGTGATGGCCTTGACTCCTTTGGTCTCGCCCAAAATGCCAACTTTGTTGGAAGCGACCCTTTGGGGTAGAAAGTTGGGTGGCAACCTTTTCAAAGAAACCAACATTCGCTTGTGAGTTGATCCTGACAGACGACTTTTGAAGTCCTGGAATCGACTTGCGACTCGCCGCTTGCGAGAACTCTCATCATGTGCCGTCCAACCACTTCAACAGAGGCAAATTCTTGCCGAGGCAAAGCCATCCAACTTTCTACCCCGAAGGATCGCTTCCAACATTTTTTGTTTTTTTCTTCGGGGTAGACCAAAGGAATCAGAACATGGGGCTGCAAGTGCTGGTTCGGGGAATGAGCTGGACCCCCAAACTGACCCATCCTAACGGACAGTTTCCCCAGAAGTCCAGAAACGGTCCGATTGTTTGGGTGGTTCGATAGGTGGGAATCAACGTTGCAGGTTTGGGAATGAACCGTTTGGGGATCCCATAAAAGAAACCACTGCCATCATTCATCTCATTCCCTGTTGACCACCAGCAATTTAAACGTGTAAGGATAGTGCGTTGGTCCAGGGCCAAAGTGTTTACCACTCTTGTTCTCTAAATGGGGTTGTCTCAGAACAGAGGCACCCCAAACATTGGTGTTTTCCCTGTGGTTTACCTTTGAACCAACCCAAGAAAGAGTAACCTCAACAATGACACTCCTAAATATCTGGCGAATCTGTGTTCGAAGGCAAAAGTGGGGCAATCCGTAAGGATCATGGTTTTTGGCCTTCGGGTAGCAATGCTTGATGCTAACGGCCATGATACTTGATTCAAGGCCACACGGGATATTTGCTTTATGCTTACGCTCCCATGGGCATCCATGGTGTTCATTCACACAGCCTTTTGGGCATAGGGGCAATGATTTGGGCAAAGTATTGTGAGCTCACACAGGGTAGACAGAAAGGTCTATGATTTGACAGATACGTAACACGTGCTTCTTAAGGTTGTGACTAGCATAGGCCTAACTGGGATGCTTGAGGGATGAGTCTAAGCATGCTGGTGAGCTCAGCTTCACATGCAAGCACATGTGGAGACACAATGTCAAATATCCGCAGCCACGTAAAGCAGTGTTTTTTTTTTTTTTCCGAGCCATCATTTGGCCAAACCCTTGAATTCAGTCATTTGGTTGTATTGCCTTTACGGAACCTTTGTTTGCGCAACTGACGACCCTTTTGCAGACCCAGACTCGCCTCGGGGTGCCGCTTTAGGCGACCGTGGACAATCATGCGAGAGCGGAGCCGTTTGAAGCACAGGGCTGCCCCATTTTGTAAGAAACCCACAAATTAATTGTGAAGACAGTGCCTTGTTGAGAGGTGCCTCAATCGTGGAAAGCACCAGCTGGAAGCAACCCACCCTTCTAAACAACGCTAAACAACAAGCATAGTGCCACAGCCCGGTCCTCCAGCCTCCAGCGCGCTTTTTCGTTGGTTGAGGGTGCCCCTTCAAACTCAAAACAGGTGCTCTATTTAACATGAAATCCACCGGAGGTCCGATAGGTTGTAGCAATGGGATCGGTATTCTCAGCCCCAGAGAGATATTCCGTCGTCTTGCCTCTTGGTTTGGGCCTGGTGGTTTGGAAAGGGAACACTGCAAACCATCTAACCTCTAGAACCATCTAACCTCTACGTACTTGCAACTAAAGCGAATAGACTGGATCTGATCTTTTGATTTCCCTGATTTGTTCCAAAAGGTGGACCTTTGATTTCCAGGGTCCTTTGGCAAGCGAGCATAAGTTAGAATCCAAATCCGAACTAATACAAAAACCGACACGGGTTTCGTGACAAGCTTCAGGTCCGGATCCCTCAGGCGGGGGCTGGCTCCGCTGCGTAAGGGGCCGCGGGTTGTGTTTGCTTGGTGCCGCCTCAGCGTTGCTTTCGGTTTGCGCGGCCTTCTTGTTTCCAGATGCGTTGGTTTTGTTATATGCGTGATCGTACATGTTTATCATAGTCGCTCCATAATCGAATAGAAGCCTTGGGATGCATAGTGAGTCTGAAAGTGTTTACTTGGTGCGCCAAACTGCTCATCCCCTTGGAGGCAATTGAGGGGGGGCCTACATGTTTCTCAGCGGTGGGATTTGTCAGCCAACGAATGCTGGTTGCATGAAACAGATGTTGTTTTGCTAAACCCCCCCAGGACTGTGAGGTCACTCGTGGATTTTTTGCAAAATCATCCCACAAAACGGATACTCATTGTAGAATTTGAAGTCTTCATGTTTCAACTGCCTGAAACGCGAGATGTGCAGAGCCCTGTCAAATCTTCACTCACCAGTTTCTTGACACAATTTTTTCTGGACTTGTCCCCAAGTTGGCACTGTGACTGCTTTGCGCCTGCACGTGGAGTTTTGCCATCGAGCTCCTGGATACATGATGTTGGCTTTGGAGGCTGGCTATGTACCGCCACGATTTGTTCGGCGATCACCGTAGTGAACACAGATGTTTTGGGGACCTTGACCAATCCTCGGTGAGAATCCCGAGGTGTCGTATTGTTTGGATTCGCATGCGATGAAAGCGTCGTTCGGGTTTTGGAGAGTTGGTTTGGGCCTTTAGTCAGAAGAGCGCCATCAAAACCGATTCGGGCAGTTTAGTCTACAGGATAGTCCCCAAAATGGGTGCAGATATCCGACCTCTGAGTTTTTTAGTGTTGGGACCACAACACCAGATTTTGATTATGAGTCTATTGGAAGCGATTGGGCAAGATGGCACCGGAGTAGACGGTGGCGATGTGGCAAAAATGGTTTTCAACCGACCACGAACCTTCTGTCGAATGTATGGTACCCTTTGGTTCAATGGTTGGTGCCATGTTACATCTTTGACTAAAACAGAGATGGGTGGCGCTATATAAATGTCACCATGATTTTGCAAAACAACACAAAAAAACAGATCCTTCTTTGCGGCACCTGACCTTTACAGAGAAAGAACAGTTGAGTTGATGTCGTGAAAACATGAGCAAAGAACACACCCAACATGTGGTTGATTTCCATGTGTGCTAGCGCATTTAAAACAAAAAGAGAAAGACATGTTCATAGCTGACGAATATGTGTGATTATTTGTTGAGACCTGATCTAACTGTAATGATTGAAGCCCAAAGGAATCCAACAGGGGATGTGTCATGTGACGTCTCTCAAAGCATTGGCCAAGGGAGGAGCTGGTTGGCGCATCATTTGGGCCAACCCCTTAGGTGGGAATATGATGAAACCACTATGCTGCTGTTGAAAGAACCTTCTTTGGCCTTCCCTTGCGAAGGAAGCAGTGGCTTCCTCGAACCCTGAACAAACAGGAGATTGTCCCAAAGTGGGGAGATGTGTCATTTTTGAGGGTAGCTTGGGGTGCTGGTTCAAGCACAGCGCGCAGCGCTTTTTCCTAACAGAGGGACCAGGAGCGTGTTGTCACGGCATCCTGCAACCTGGCCCTCGCCAGGCCGAGTGCCCTTCGCCGATGTGGCCTTCGACGTGTGCATCGGCGATGAGACCTTTTGCAGGCGCAGCCGCGGTGCTGCGGAAACGCCTCGACGGTTTGTGCCAGGCAACCTTAATTGGTGGTTTGGTTTGGTTTGGGAATCTGAGCCGTTGTTTCTCATAGGAGCTAAATGAGTTGCAAATTGTGCTTAAAGCACTAGCCTGGGTCCCTGTTTGAAGGGAACCAAAGCAAGGTTACTCAAAATGTGGTTTAAACAGTTGTAGCAAGGAGTTCGTGTCCATGTTGGAAACTCGGATTGCCGTATGTTTCATCCCTAACGGTATTGGTTGACAGTTCAAGGGAGCAACGTCTTGAGGCATGTTTTGGAACTTAGCATGTCAAAAACCGGGAATGGCTTATCTATAGGAAAACAAAGGCAGAGTGGAGCCAGCCATTGTCCAATGGTTAACCGTCGCACGTCGCAGGTCAAAGAAAAGAAGAACCAAGGACTGTTCCTGTATGGTTTGATTGGAAAACAGGAGAACTGCAAGCTCAACATCCAGACTCTACTGCACCCCATTTTTGTCGGAGTCCCGAAAGAGGGGAATTGCAAAGCAGTGCACAGAGCAACCACCAGACACCCGTCGAGGTTGCTGCATGAAAAGAACCATAAAAGTCGCAAGAACCCGATTTGGGAGGACACTTGGCAAATGCGTCCCAGGTGGTTTTTTGCCTTGATGCTTTCAACTTTGTAACCTTTCAGAATATGACTGCTTCCCAACGTTTAACGTCTGGGGGTCAAAGACCAGCCCAGTTCTCTTGCGTGCACGCGGGACTAAGCCTTGCAAGCATTCACAAGAACCCACTGTTTTTTTTCTTCCTTTTTTTTTTAGAAAAAAAACTTACTTGCCAGCCGATCTTTTGACTTGGGGGGGGTCAAAAAAAAGTGATGGTTCCAACAGATTGAACTATTTTGTTTTGTCAAGTCATGTCAAGTCCTTGGGACAAATGAGAATGTGGAGCATACATTGACCACGCTTACAGGAAATCACCAGTTGATTGTTTCCCAGATGGCCGAGTCCGTTCGGGATATGTCTCACCTGGCCAGTTGATTGCTTCTCCAGCCTTAAAGGATACCTGTGCCCTCAAACTCGTTAATATGTACCCCGCAAGAATGGGGGCGATGTCCAATTTGTAAGGGTGGCTGGAGAGACCAGGTAGACATTTGTGTCAATCAAAGATCACTGCTGATCTACGTAGGAACAGATCCAAAGTTTGGTTTGCACAGGTTAAAAGACGTGTACCGGGCTCCCGTTTTCCGGAGGTTCTTGGCGCACCGAGTAGTGGTGGGCGCACAAAGCCCTGTACTCCTGAAGGCCCGGACCGGGGCTACGGGGCTCTTCAGTTCCCAAAGATGGGTGCCAACTTGAAATATCCCATTCTACTTAGGGTTGGGGCTACGACAACACCAAGCTCCTGGTCATTCAGGTGGTTCTAGCTGGATTAGGGATGATAGGAAGGCCCGTGTAAACCTTGGCCATGTTAGAGCACAGTCAGTCAAGGGGTTTAGGCACTGCGAAAAACGAACTTACTCTTTAGACCTCCCAGCGAACATGTTTGTCGCGGGTCAAAGGCCAACTCAGGATGAAGGCTGCAATATGTGTTTGCATTTCTTCTCCCCCGAAACACAGGCGTTTTCTGAAGCTACGAAAACGACGTGCTGGGTTCGCCGGGCGAGCCAAGGTTCTCCCGGTGCCTCAACCAATCAACGACCATTTCAGGGGACCGAAAGTGGGTAGAAACACAATCAATTCGAACACACATTCCCCATTTGAAGTTGCACGCCTGGCAAAGGGAAGCTCCAGACACAAAGGCAAGTTGGTCTGTTTTGCTCCGAGCCCAAGAAATGATCAAACGGTCGAAAATTGCGCGGTGTCGGTTGGCTTGTTTTTATACCAGGGCTGCGATCGATTCGGACATCGGTTGAGCCCCAGGCCAGGAAGGTATCTCTCTCTCTTTCTCTCCTTCTCTCTTTCTCTCCTTGTTTCGTGGTTGGCTACAAGACTCGAACTGGGGCCAAGTTGAGGTGTCCCGGAGATATGGCAATGAATTTGGGACACCTCCAAAGTGGCTGCTGCTATTTTTCTGCCCGAATTCTGATGTCCACCCTTTGGGGTCCGGGACCCAATAAAATTCACACGGGTGCGTCTTAAAATAAGGGGCCGCACTTTTTCGCCGTTTGCCGATAGGTCTCCTTTGAAGCAACCCCAAAAAGGGCATCCATATGGAGAGTCGCTGTGTCTGCTCTCAGGAGCTGCTGACCGCTCCCTTGCAGGACCTGCCGCAGGCGCGCGGCCACTCGGCCATGTGCCTGGACCAGATGTTTTCAACTGCATGGCTGCAGATCATGGATGTGTATAAAGATGGTTTGGATGGCTTGAAGCATAGACACGAAGAACATCAGCCGCCAGGGGGTTGTTTTGATACACACATGCTCCCTTTGATCCAACTTGGAGATGCGCAGACATGTGCTGAATCCAAAACTGTTTGAGAGCCATAAGAGGCTTATGGCCCAGAATTGCCCTTACTGGCCCCTGGTCAGTATTAGGCTGCAACGGCTCATGGCTCTTAATCAACCAGCTTTTGGGGATGTTCGCCAGGGATGCGGGTAAATGGTGTTTGTGTGTCGCCAACCGTGGAAGCCTCTGGGTGGCTGTCCGCGTCTCCGAAAGCAGGACAACCACGAGGTTTTTCACACGACCAAAAACACAATCAACGAGCGCGATGCGACACGGCGAGGTATCTCCCAATATCCAGTTCATTCAATTCGGGAATCAGTTCCCTTGGCGCAAACCCCAGTTCAATGGCCTTCTTTTTCACCTTTGCTTCGTGTTAAACATGGTCAAAGCCCTTATTGGAAAAGTGCCAGGTTGCTCCATGAGGCTAGGATGTTTTTTGCTTCTCGAAAGGGCAAGTTTCCTTTGGACAGGATGATCAAACACACAAAGATCAGTTGGTCTTCTTTGATTCCTCAAAACATACACTCTATTGTGGGGTACTTTCTATTTTAGAGTTTGTTAATGTTGAAACGCATGTGGAAACATGAACTGTGTGTGGAATGCTTGACCATAATGGCATGTGCCATTTTGGCTCAAGCATTGTTCTGGGTTCCTGGAACCCAAGCTGATTGAAAAACTTTGATCTTTTGCATTTTCGAACTTAACCCCGACCAAGCAATGGCTTCCTCGGCAACCTCGGCAACTTCCTTTGAGTTGATTGAGGACCAGACACTCACCGTGGAGGAGGTTGAAATGGCCAGCCAGGAGGCCCAGGACATTCGCACACGGGAGGCGGCAGTGGCGGCCGGCTTGGTTTTGGACGAGCCCGAGGCCCCCCCGTCAGCTTCGGCGACCGATGTGATGAATGACCTCTCCAGTGCACTGGAGCGTCTCCAAGTGGCATTTGCCACACCGACTCCCGGCTTGGGTGCCCCTGGCCCCGCCGAGGAGGGCGACAGGGACATGGGGGATGCGGACGGCACGGAGCGGGCCACACCACCGGAGGAGGCGCAGACGCCACCCACGAAGAGACTGAAGGGCTTTGTGGCGGCTTCTCAGAAGGCTACGTCTCAGGCCAACAAACCTGTCACCTTGGTGCCGGTGGACGGAAAACCTGGGTACTTCAAGCTGGTGGACCTCCCGGACTTGTTTCCAGTCCTTCCAGCGTCGGCGGCCACCTTGCTGAGAGACATCACGGTGGAGGAGGCGGTCTCCCTGTTTTACAAGTTTGTTGGGAAGAACCTCACGGAGGACCTGGTGATCCGCATCTTGGAGGCGTACGTCCCGATGAAGATCCAGCTCCGCCAGGAGGAGGTCTGGGCTTCGCAGTTCCAGAGGAACAAGGCGTGTATCGGCACCCAGCGCATGTACAGGCTCGACGCAGGTCATTCCGACTACAAGTTCATGTGCAAGGCATGCGGAACGTGGCCAGAGGCTGCCAAGCAGTGCTGGGTCTGCCCGGCAAGGAGTCCGCCCCCTTCCAGGCACCCTCGGCCACCTATGAGGCGGACGGCATCACCTACAACCTGCTCATCTTGGAGGGAAAGCCGATCTGGATCCAGCAGCGGGAATGGGGAAGCCTGGGTGCCGTTGGCCCCGGTGGTACCCTGGCACAGGCCGACCGCAACTTGGTGGACGGCACGGTCTTGGGGAGAGCCCCTCCAAAAACGGACTCGGCTGATGAGATCACCATGGCAGATGCGGTCCCGCTTAACATGCGGGTGGACATCCGGCAGGAGATCCTGTCCATGGAGGCGGATGACGAGGCGATGAAGGTCCGGGAAAGCCAGGAGATCCGGGTCAAAGTGCAGCGGTCCCTGAAAGAGGCGGAGGCTCAGAGCTTCTACCATCCCCAGGTGGACCAGGCGATCAGGAAGAAGGAGGAGCTGCATAAGGCCTTGCGGAGCTGAATCTGGAGGAGGCCTCGGCCAGGAGTTGGTCACTGAGGAGATGCTGGACAACGAGATGGCGATCCCGGCGCCCCTCCAGGAGGGCATGCAGGCCCTGCCGTCAGATGAGGTGGCCAACGAGGGAGCCCGTGCCCTCAGGAAGGTCAACCTGGAGCGTTTCAAGGCCAAGCTGAGAGACCAGTACTTGGAGGGGAAGGCACCAACCAGGCATGGAAGCCCTTGCGTGGCCGGATGTCTCAGGAAGGCCCTGGAGAGGGGCCTATTCTGCCCCCTGGAGCTGGAGGACCCCGACGCCCCCCGGTGGGGGACATCAAGGAGAAGTATGTCCCCTACATCAAGATGCTCAGAGCGTCGCAGAACCCGTGGCACCAGGAGGCACTGCTGGAGGAGATGCCCGAGCTGGAGGCACCGGCCCCCCCCCAAGGGTGCCACCGGCCCCGGGGGGGACCACCCATGTCCCAGCAGGACCTGGACTCTGAGGACGGCAAGCTGTCCCTTATCCTCTGGGCAATGAAGCGGCACCAGGGAGAGCTCCGGATGTTTGGGGGGTTTGGAGGAAGCACGCAAGCGGTGAGATCCCCCGGGGCGCTGACCAGCAGTTTAAGCTCGCGCCGGAGGAGCTCCTGGCCCTTGAGCGCAGGACTCACCCATGCACGTGCGAGCAGGACCACATCGACCCAGTCATCTACACGGCCTTGGAGATCCGGGCTCAGGTGAACCGCCCGGCACCTGAGCAGGTGGTTGGTATCTTCTGGGCGAGGGGTGATGGGGTGTTCAGACAGACGAGAACGTGGGACCTGCCGAGCCTGACGGGAGTGTACGCCCACAGGTTCACATTTAAGTATATCTACTCGGCCTGGACCACCTTCCCGTTGATTGTGAAGACGCAACGCCGGGGCCGCAATGCGGAGGCTCGACCTCGGACAAGTGGATGGGCAACATTATCCAGATGAGGAAGGAGGCGGTGCCCTTCCTGGAGAGCCTGGGCATCCCCAAGCCGCACAGCAAGGAGGAGTGGAGTTACATCTTCAAAGAGATGGGGACATTCTTGGCGGCAAAGAATTTCATCGTGAACTGCCCGTTGCCCGTGATGGAGATGCCGGTGGCCCCCATCCATGACAGTAAGGAGGCGCTGCGGTTCAGGGCAATTTGCGACGAACGGATCACCCTCCCGCTGGCCTCGCTGAAGGCTTTCGACTCGGTCTACACCAAGTTGGTGGCGGGCCTGAGCAAGTCGTCGATGGTGGAGGTGAAGGTCAATTGGCGCTGCAATGTGGTCCACGAAGGTCCCGCAGGAGGCGGCGGGGGCCTTGTATGACAGGTTGGGCTATACTCCCAGGACCTCATCCGGCAGCTGGGTTGCTCCCCCCCCTTGCGTTGGCCCCGGGGGGGGAGCGGCCAAGGAGGCGGACCCAAAGGCCCTCCGCACCCCAGACCAGGGCACCAGGCAGGCGGTACCCGCCCATCACCACGGCCACGGTGACGGCGGTCGCGGGCCAAAAGTACGTCAACAAGCACTTTGCCAAGGAGGCGAAGCATGTGTTTTGGGGCTCCGTGGAGTGTGGATTGGTCTTGCCAAGCATCAGTGCCTGGGAAGTGGTGAGCAAGGAAAAGTTCAAGACCACGGGGGGCTATATGTGCAGATTTTGCAAGGGCTTTTGGAAGGCGAGCCGCGGGGGGACCAGGCTGCTCCAGATCACGGGGTGGCACAGGGATAAGGCCACCTGCTTGCAGTTGGTGAGGGACGAGCCCCCGGAGCAGCTGTACTGGATCCGCGATCGGATGGAGTTCTACAAGAGGGTGGAGCCAACGGAGCCTCGGCTGGTCCTGGGCGACGCGAGCAAAACCCGCATGCGCTTCAGCTCCTCGAACGGCCTGGGGGATGTCTCCACGGCCTTGTGGTCGGTCATCCTGAGCAACCCGGAGAAGTCGGGGCTGGCGGCAATCCACTCGGTGGCGAAGGAGGCGATCCTGAAGGGAGGGAGCCGCTAGGTTTTGTCTCACAACCCTGTCGGATGTGGGAGTCGTGTGATCTCTTCCTCCCGCCCGGGACTTGGGTGCCATTGGCCCCGTCTCCGGGGGGGGGGGAAATGTCTTCCTTATTGGGCTCGGTTTTCACCTCTGTTTCCTCTCTTATTCCATTTTGGTGGCGCACGTGAGTTTTTCCGGTTGCATGGCAGTGGAGCCACGTCACGGCAGCTTGGTCTCCTCGACCATGAGGCCACATGCATTAGCTGCCCCAAGGATGGGCCATCTCAGCCACGGTGCTGCGGCCGACTCATGGTTTCCTTGAGGTCCCCTTGAGGTTTTGGGGAATCCCCCACCTGGTCGGTCTCCCCCTCCGTGCTTTTGGGGGGTTTCTGTGGGGTTGATTTTGGGTCGCGCTCCCCCCTCTCCCTGTTAAAATCTCGGGACTTTGGGGGGGACATGTCGGGATGCGTGTGGCCTGCCTGCTCCATCTGCACTCTGCATTCTGCAAGGTTGGAGCATGCATGCATTGTGCCGCGGTTGGGTCCCGGCGGTTCGATGGGAGGCTCAAAACCCCCTTTTTCATCATGGCTAGGGTATCTACCAAGTTTCTTATGCGCCCGCCCTACACACGTCTTTGGGACCGCATTCCAAGGGTCCTATGGGACACGTTGGCGGATGAGTCCTTCTCCCCGAGACAGACGGACGGTCCTGATGTGCCTGCGCCAAGGCACTGAGGAGGAGGGGAGGAAGCTGGGCGGAGAGCCGGCAATCCGCTTCTCTCAGCTCCTGGAACTCTCGGGCATTTTGGTAGGACAAGACGCCCACGTGGTCCCGACGGAATACTTCAACGGCCTGGTGGCGGCGGCGGCAGGCAGGCTTCCCCAGCCTCTGTCCGCGGCGGACCTGGC